CAAAATAACTTGCCGGGCGAGATGGTAGTCAAGGTTCTCCGGAGACAAACACGAGACGACATCCTTAAAGCGACAGCAACTAAACCCTTGCAGCTGGGAGAAGCAAACATCAGGGTCCTAAAGGACACTCCGTTTGAGGTTCGACAGAAGAGAAAAGCCTACAAAGAACTTATTTCAACGCTCCAAATAAACCAAATTTCTTACACCTGGCTCTACCCCGAAGGGGTGCTGTTTAAATATAAAGATAAAAGAGAAAAGATTGATTCGGTTTTTAAAGCAGAAAAATGGTTGAAGCAATTCTTCGGAATGAAAGAAGACGGGCAACCAGAAGAGGGCGCAGCAGCGAGTCTAGAAGAAGAGGACGAAGATCCAACAGGAGCAGAAGGAGCCGTGGCCAGAGAAACATATGATCTACGACTAAGAGTTCATAAGTAGCTCTCAAAGTCTCAAAGATTATGACTGAAGAAGATATGAGACTTTGTACACACTGAGAAGCTAGCAGTCTATTACTAAAATTGGACTTACTAACTCCTAAATTCATTGTTTTAAACGAAAAGCTATGTGTTTTTTATGACTAACTGAATACTAACTGTATTTGACCTTCCTTTCTTGGGTTTTTAGTTATAGTGTGGGTTTTCAGTTACTGTCCTGTCCCTTGGGGTTTTTTATTTTTTTCCCCTTCCCAGTTTTTCTTTCTTCCCTCTTTCTTATGTAGTTGTGTAGTTGTAACAAAAAACCAATAAAACTACCCTGGTTTCAGGGGATTAAAACCGAAATAGCTCAAGCAGCAGCTTTGGCTATCAAAGTTGGACCTAGATTAGAAGCAATGTTCGTTCACTCCTTGTCTGTGCAAGGTACTCTGTGTTGTACTATTTTGTTGTACTACTTTGGTCTTTGCTGGTCTTATGACTGTTTTTAATAAACTTGAACTTAATACAGAAATGGCACAGCCTCCAAGGATACTTTCCACATTTTATTTACATTTGAAGACTAACTTTATTCTCAATCACATTTTCCATACACCTGTTTCCTTTTTTGTTTTGTTTCACTAAAGTTGTTTTGTTTCACTAAAACTTAAATATATGGTTTATTAGAACGAAGACTGTAAACAAATATTTTGCAATGTCCATTACACGTAACACACAGAAGCCGCTTAAGAGAAAATCATTCCCTCACTTTATAAATACAAGTATCAAAACAATCCTGACTGTATTCTGTGACACTACTAGCATTCAGCACCCACACCTTTGCAAAATAAATAAACAAGTTGAGCAATGGTAGTTGCAGTACCCGCTACTTTAAAAACAATTTCATCTCCAGCTCTTTTACTAAAGCAAGATGGATAAAGCATGCCATTTTAAATCTCTTTTTCTTCTTCAGAAAAGGTTTTTCTGAAACATCTTACTCCACAGCAATCTGACACTTCTTGTCATGCATTTGTCTTGAAACACTGGAGCACCAATTTTAGGCTACTTCAGGTTTATGTTAAAATGATACTGCCTTGCTAAAGAGGAAAAAAATGTGCTGCCTTCTCTCTCTGATTGTGCCTGAAAACATATAGGGTATATATATATTCTTTCATATGTCCAGATAATGTACACCAGAAGAAACTCTTTAATGTGTGGGTGGTTTTGCATTGTGAGATTGAATCAAGACATTAACATAAGTAGAAGTTGTTTTAAGACAAGTTTGGGATTCAGCTAAAATTAATTGTTGTAAGTTTGTCCTTCTGGAGGTTGTGGAAGCTTCATATTTTCTTTGGACATCATTAGACGCCTTAGCTCTTGAAGTACAACTTTAATGCTATAAGAATTTTGCCATTTTGCTAACACTGGTATGCTCCGTGCATCCACCTGTTAAGGATAGAAAGCATAAATTTAAATAAGGAGTAAGGAATGTGGAATACCTGATTTCACAATTGTATCATTCTTGTGTTTAATTTTCAAACTAACACCAGAAGGTGAGGCAATATGGCTTGGTGATGAAACTGTTTCCATGTACATAAGGGATCATTACACCTTGTCATACAGCATCATGGGTGCATATATTTAAGGTGAAGATTTGTTGGCTCTTGTTATGTAAGAGTTTAATTATTGTGGCAGTAAAAATATTTCCTGGGTATGGTAAGCACTCCTGCTAAAATATAAAATACTGAAAAAGGAAGGTGAGAAGGTTTATTGTTAGGCTAGGCCACCATTGCTTTAAAGCAGCACATTCCACAGAAACTTGTACATTTTTGATTGTGTCGAAGTATACATGTGCTGCATTCTGGTTCCCAGAATGGAATTTTCCTGCCTCCTCTCCCCTCCCACCACCTCCCTAAATGCTGCCTCCCGTGTTCCAGGGATCTCCAGGATCAGCACTGTGCACAATGAAGAGATCTCCAGAGTGGGTGGTGGTGAGAACAGGTAAAAATGGCTCCCTTCCCTCTACTGCCCTTCAAGTGATGGACAACAATCATTAGATACAACTCATTAATTTATGATCCTGTCATCACTGTGCTTCTTTTCAAACAGGATAACTTGAGAAAGATGTGGCTAAAGTTCAATATTACACTTTTTTAAAATAAGGTAAACTGCACTGTCCCGCACATATAATTCAGTGACTGAACACAATTCAAGCTATTTTAAAAGCAGACTTCACAACTGTCAGCATTTAAACACCAACCAATACAATGAACTCCTGTGATATAACAGCAAGCCACTGAATAACACAGGCATCTGGGGCACCAAAGGCACTAGGAAATGGATCTTACAGCATATTTTTTACCGCAAAATAGCAGCTGCAGGATGAGGGCTGGTTGTGCACAGTACAGACAGAACCTGCAGTGTGGGAGGGAGGTGTGTAACTCTTTCTTCCCTGTAACTTTTTCCTGACCTAAACTGTTAATAGCCTGCTGAGGAAACATACAAGGAAAAGATGGAAATCTACCAGTACAGGACAGCATCGGGAAGGGGCACTGCATTATCTCTATTCTTGTGCCTTGCTTCTCTACAGCTGATTGCGCAAGGCATTTCTCCTGTATTTTATTGATTTACTATTATATACTCTAACTAGGTTAACATCTCCAAACCAGTTCACAAGGCCAAAATAAGAAACACAATAAGGACACAATCACAAACTACAAAGTAATAAGAACAAGCAGAAGCCAGGCTACAATAAAATCAATTTATTCACATTTATCTACTTCATCACTGTCACCAGGCACTCTTTCACAACTGCAGCATCTGGATCTGATGAAAAAGTGGAGCTGTGTTCTGAGCACTCTGAACTCCAGATGAAGGAAAGATAAAGGGGACCTAGTAGTCACTAAGCTTTGTCTACTTCAATTCAATCTAGATTAAAGCAGTTTGCTTACTGTGTGACCTGAACACACACTATACTACACCAATACAATGTAAACACAAAATCACTTGACAAGGAAACACAGCTAAACCTGTTATTTTGCATTTTACAAAGATGCACACTAAAAAAAGACTGATTAATAGTTTGCCTGCATAGGTAATTGTTCAGTTTAAACAAATGACACATGAACTTGGCACAAGGCAGATGACAATTGATCGATCCAGGTGGGTAGCTGTGTTAGTCTCAAGCAGCAGAACAAATTTTGAATCCAGTGACATCTTTAAGACCAACTAAGTTTTATTCTAGGTATAAGCTTCTGTGTGCACACACTCTTCTTCAGATACACTGAAACAAAGTCACCAACCATTACATATAGTTAGAGGTTCCGGAGGGTCTCGCCAGGAGGGGCTAATTAGAGTCAAGATGCATAAATAACTGAGCAATAAATATAACTAATTTTGGATTAAGGCAATTGGTAAGACCTGTGAATAGCAGCATAACAAAATAGTTTACAAACAAATGTGAGAACAGTATGACATTAGCATGTGTAGTGAGGTAAGAAACCGATATCTCTGTTAAATCCTGGGGTTTCCATTGTTCTAAGTGTTGTAATAACTTGTAACTCAACAATCTCCCATTCTTGTCTGTTCCTGAAATTCCTTTGTAATAAAACAGAAGAAGAAGAGATTGGATTTATCCCTCACTCTTTACTTGGAGTCTCAGAGAGGCTTACAATCTCATTCCTTTCCTTCCTCCACAACAGACAACCTGTGAGGTAGGTGGAGCTTAAAGAGCTCTCTGAGGACTGCTCTTGAGAGAACAGCTCTGAAAGAACTGTGGCTTGCCCAAGGTCACCCAGCAGCTGCATGTGGAGGAGTGAGGAATCAAACCTGGTTCTCCCAGATTAGATTCTGTGCTCCTAACCACTACACCAAACTGGCTCTCAGCAACTTTAAGGTCCCTCATTGTATATCCTGGAAGGCTGAAGTATTCTCCTACAGGTTTTTCAGTTTTGTGGTTCCTGAGGTCAGATTTGTGTCCATTTATCCTTTGGCGGAGGGTTTGACTTGTTTGCGCTATGTAGAGAAGTGAAGAACATTGTTGGCATTAACAATGCCAAAAGGGGGGAGTTTTGGCCTCTGTGCCCTTTCTGTGGGCTACCTAGGGGGAAAAGAATGGAGGACTAGATAAATTGTGTGTCCGAATCAGCAAGGTTCAGTTCAAGCAAATGTAGGGGAAGCAAATGCATTCTTTCCTACCCATCGTACTCCTCAGTAATTTTTTGTGTAAAGTGAAACAGATTGGTCATCATGCACTTCAACTTACCATTCCATTGGAATTATTTATTCCATTCATATTAATTTTAGTTACAAATCTAACTGTTGGAGGTGCTTCTGGATATTTAGGACCGCACTCTACCTTCAAGCTGTATATTCTGTTTTCATAATTTGTCTAGTAATGGAAGAGAAAGAATTATTCATGATATGAAAGTGAATACACTTGCAAAAGTCACTATTAAAATACTGAAATGAAGCCAGTTGACCCAATTCCGGTAAACAGATGAAGCCCGTCCAAAATAACTAAAATGCTGCTCATCAGGGAGGGAGCAGCAGCAGGGACTGAAATCTCTTGCCCACTCTTTCTCCCGAACAGATCACCTAAGGGAATCTTGACACTTAAATAGGTTCCAACTGCGAAACTAGTTGTTGCTTCAGTGAAGAAAAACATGTGTGCAGGACCTACTTGTAGGTGTGTATCCCTGTACACCTGGGGATGGACATGCACAGCTCCTAGCTGAATGAACAAACTCCTGGGAACCTACGTAAACCACCCTGAGTTCTTCTAAGATGGAATAAAGATAAAACACAAATGTAATAAACTCCACTAAGCAGCAGCAAGATACGATCGGTGCCATACAGCACGGTGTATATTCCAGGCACCCATGTAAAGATAAATGTTAAGTCAGCCTGTGCCCAGCCTTATCTGTGGTTGTACCCATACATTACAATGGCCCTCCTGTACTTTTGTGAAATGTGCAAGGCTGAGCTACTCAGGAGGACTTTACCAGTTGATAAAGAGGTAGGCTATGAGGCTGACTTGAGGTAGATCTGTTGACTTGAAGTACATCTGCTGCTGTTGAGGACAGCAACAGTTGGTTCCACCAGCTTTTGAATTTTCTCATGTGTGTTGGTTTTAACTGGGGTTTTTATGTTTGATGTGCTTTAATTTCCACTGCAGTCTGCTTTGAGGCTCGTCAAAGGAGAAATGTGGATTAAAATGACTTAAAATAAATTTAGATAAGGGAGAGAAACATATACGTCAAGCAAAAGGAATATGGCAAAAGGTATGTTTAACTGTATTCTTTTACAGGCCCTTTAACAGCATGAACAGAACAAAATCACTGATAACCTTATTAGAATTGGGAAGTCATGTTGGACACGGATGAGTTTACTGCAATGTGCGTGTGTGTTTTAGTCCGAAATACCCTTTAATCCCACAGCAAGGGCATGTAAACCAGAGACCAAAATTGAAGGACAGGGTCTGCTTCCCACTGGAAATGGAAGGAGATTCTCAGCATAGCCCTGCCTGTAGAGCAGGATGGAAAAACTAACCTGTCCCAAGATAACCCTCTAGCACTGGGGAAAAAATTAGCAGGCAATCTCACTTGCTTCCAGACCCTTTTTTTGCATTTAGCCCATCTCCCAACACTCCCATATTTTTTCTGAATTACTAAACCCTTCTCACATTTGGGCAGACTTTGGGCTCTTAGTTCTTACGTAATTTAAACTAATTACAATGAAAGCCTCTCTGCAATTCAAATATGTCGACTCCTTCACAGTCCTCTTTGTATCTAAACGAAATATTAACTCCTGTATTATTTTGATCGCATTTTACAGTGTAAATTATCTTTTATTGAACTTCTTTTAATGCCCAATGAATAATGAAGTCATTAACTACTGATAGATCTGAATTAACTGTTATATAGCAGTGGCAGAGCTAGCTTGCCATAGGAATAGATCAAGCATACCTGAAGCTTTAAAATGACTGAGTCATCACAAACAACATGCATGTACAAATTAACCTGGAAAAACTGTGCCGAGGGGGGAAAGAACTATCTAATGTATACTGAGCAACTTCTTTGTAATTCATTTCTGAGAGACTGAAGACTAAATTAACTGCTATAAATCTGAGGGATCAAGCAGCTACATCTAAAACAGATTAGCCATCAAAATGGTGTTGTGGTGGTCATTCAGAAAATGAACAGAAATTCTTGGTTCAGAAGGAATTCAGCTATTAATGTTGCCTTGTCTCAGTTCTGCTTCTGTCATACTGACCTACTTCACAGGGCTTCCGTAAGGATTGCTAACTTATGTGATGAGCTGTGAAACTGAGACAAAAGCATTATATTTCACAACACAGAAACATTACTGGAAGAACATAGATTTCTGAGGGCAAAGATATATTTGGGAACCTTGAGATTTTGGGGGGAAACTATACATGGTTTGAGACTTCTTTGCAGAGGTCCTTTGTTCAGAGGTCATTTGCCATTGCCTGCCTCTCCATAGTGACCCTGGACTTCCTTGGTGGTTTCCCATTCGAATACTAACCAGAGCCAACCCTGCTTAGCTTCTGAGAACTGATGAGACTGGGCTAAACTACAGAGTTTGAGACTTCTTTGCAGAACGCCCTTCATCCTTCTGGCTTCTCTTCACCTGGGACTGGTTACCATCTTCTAAAACTAAATATTTTACCTATTCTGCAACTGCCTTTCCTCTTCAGATCAGGGAAAAGCTTACACCAGCATTTTAATATATGCTTTCCTATCAATACAGAATTCTTTCTGCCAACCAGTGTGATTTAGGCTGGGTTTTTTTCACATCCTGCACAGTAAGGCAAAGAAGCCTCAGCTTTGCCTGCTGTGTCAAAGATGGTTTAAGACCTCTGCCCATAAAGCAGAAAAGAGACAGGTAGGTTTTCAAGAAACAAATCTCTCTACCGAAGCGAACACTGACAAACCTTGACAAGAGACTGGCCTCCAACACTGCTGCTGTTTGGTCTTCAGAATGATTTTTTTTAAAAAAAACACACCCCAAAGTCTGTAAACCACTCCTAGAATTAGTCCCAGCACCCCTCTAACTTCCGTCAGAATCTATTCTTGGCCTGTAGCAACTTCATTCAAGTTTCACTAAAAGCGTCTTCATACTTTTGTTCCTCTTGCTTCCAAAAGGGGTATAGTAGCTATTTGCCAATTCAATGCATAAAAATGATTCTGAGTAAAAATTCTGATGACACTGTGGGCCAGTAGAGAAGAATTCTCAACTTCCCCAGGACTCAGTTTCATAAGACAGCAAAAGAGACAAGCACCAGAGGCTACAAACTTCCCACCCAGTAAGCATGAATGATTCTTTGGCTGCACCTGCCAGACGGCATTTTGGTTGAAAAATGGTAGACATAACTAAGCGAAGGATAATAAGGCTGCCTGCAATGGGCATAATCTATGGTCGTGCAGGTGTTCGCATATTTTTTCTTTAATTATTTGAATTATTGCATTCTTTTATATATTATTTTAAAATGCTGCTTTAATATTTTAATGTTTTGCTGCTCTGGGGACCCTATTTGGGTGGAAAGGTGGCATAGAAATGTTTTAAAATAGGATTATTAAAACATAGGCATGTCTGAAAGCAAAGCAGTTCAAACAGTTCTAAGTTGATATGAATGCTTTTGCCTTTTGGTTTTATACATCCTATTAAGAACTGACATTTTTGTAATAGAAACAGGAATTTTGTAAACAAAGCTACTTTTACAATAGCTTCATACATATCAAATGCTTTCAAATTTGCCTAACAAACACAAAAAAACTCAGGCTAAGCCTATTGTCAGGAATCACTGATCACTTCTATTTATACTGATTCTAACAAAATGCCTGCCACACTAACACAGAAACTAGTAATGTCTAGCCAAGAGCCCAGATAATCCAGATGTCACTGTTCACCCACCCAATGCTTCTCCTCCAATTTTAGTCTTCTGAAACACACCTGGGAGGCTGAAGTTAGTGGGTGAGCACCAACAGGTGGATGGCTTAAGACACACGATAAGCTCCTAACACTGCATCCCACACTTCCAGATCAAAAAGGGAATCTGATATGAACCCCTGCCCCACCCTGCTTTGCCTCAAGCAGTAACTGGCTCGGATGCCAATGTTTAAGTCTTTGAGAGACTGAAAAGAAAGCAATTGCTTTTGATATGTTGTAAAATGCCCAGTAGCACCTTTAAGACTAACAAACTTTATTGTAGCAGAAGCTTTTGAGAAACACAGCTCTCTTCATCAGAGCTGTGTTTCTCGAAAGCTTTTGCCCGCCCGCCCCCGCCCCCCCAGACGGAACAAAGAGTCAGACAACCAAAGTTGGGTAAAACTAAGGCCACTTTATTTAACATAAATGAAAGTAATGGCAAGGGCAAACGGTGAACAGTGGGGTCACCTTGGCCCCATCCTTACCGTACAATGGGCAAGACACCAAGGCCCCGGGTTGGAGCCAACTGCAAGTTGCTCACACCAGGCTGGCCCAGCAATTGGGATGCGCCTTGAGGATCCCTCCAACACAACCGCACAGCCTGCACAGAGGACCCATCGTGGCCATCCCCAAAGGCAGTCTGCAATCCTCCTCCCTGGCCGCACGGCCGCAGGGGTGATCCTGTCAGACCCCTATGCCTCCCACAGGGTTGTTGACTGGTGCTTACTGAGCCACATGAACTTTATCTAAGATGTAATTCTGCCACCACAAAGGCCAAGCCTCTGCTTAGGCCTCTGTGCCCACTCAGATCCCTAATCTAAGCCCTTGCCGTAAATCCTGCAGGAAAATGTCATTCCCTTTTTTGGAAAGGTGAACGCCATCACCCTGTACAGCTCCGGACAATCAAGCCGAATCTGGGGGTGAGGCAAATAGTAGCCCAACCCAACCTTCAAAATATTCCGGAGCTCACCATTGGCCTTACGCCGAGCCCTCTCAATCCCCTTGGGATCCAAAGCGCTACGCCATACTAGGCGCGGAATCATGGCCAACCACACAATTACTGTGTCAGGCCACTGGCGCTGAATGAAATTCAGGTCATCCCGGGCTTACAGCACTAGGGCCTTTCCCTTCAAGTATCCCAAGTCATTGCCTCCCAGATGAATGACCAAGACCTGGGGTGGAGAGCGACAGCTGTCCCCAAACACCAGAGGGAGGAGGCCCGTCCAGCATAGGCCCCGGCGCCCCCTCCACTCCACAGTGGCCCTTTGGCTGAGGCCAAGCTGAGAGCCAGTGGCCGATCTATTGGCCCGATGAACCGCCCAAAAGATGTAGCTGTGTCCGCAGATGAGAATCCGTCTTCTCCTGCCACAGAACACAGCACCTAAGAAGAAAAAACTATGAACTTCCGCACACAGCAATGGAGCAGCAACAGCAATCTCA